CCGCTCCCCGAAAGTCAGCCGTGCTCCCCAACCTCTGAGCCCATGAGATGCTGATGCATTCCCAAGAGGCTCCGTGTGGTCAGGACCTCCTCCTAGAAGTGTGGGCGCAGGAGGGCGTGGCTTGGGGTGGCGGGGGGCACCCTCAAGGAGGCCGCTCCGCCAGTCGTGGAGAAAATGCGGTGCGTGCCGGCTGGCTCTTCCGGAGAGAAATCGGTTTCTTCGCTCTGATTCAGCTTTGCCCTTATCCCCTAGAAAAGTCTTTTGAGGAAGAAAAAGCAGGGCCGAGGGGCGCCATCCATGAGAGCAAATGGCAGCCAGTCGTGGCCCTTTCCTGAAAGACCCCCCCTTGGGGGCGCCCCTGGGCCCCATCTCCCAGCGCACCCCAGAGAGCATCCCTTCTCCATCCGTTGTAGCTGGTGGGACGCTAGGCCCACTCAGTGCTTACAGCGAGCCCGTGTCACCATGCAAGAGAGCAGAGGGCACAAAGAGCCCGCAAAGTCACGTTTCCACGGTGACTTGAAGCCAGCAGAACATGCAGACGCGGGTCTTTTTCAAAAGCCACGTTTGCGTGACAGTTGCACACAGAGAAGGGGTTCAGTCACAGACACCCCGAGAATCTCCGGAGGTGGCAGTATTAGTCTGCAGGTCACAAATAGTAAGAGCAATTCAGATGGCCGTGGACGTCATCTGGAAAAGTATGTCAGGAAGCAGCCTCCGCCGTCATCGAAAGAGATGTTCGTGAGCTGCCTGAGAGGGCGAGGGCCACACGTCGCACTGGCCTTGCCCGGAGCGTGACATCTCAGTATTTCAGTGGTTCGTGCCATCTCTTATCTTTCACAAGGAAGCCTCGTCTGTCGCGATTCCATCTCCCCTCCTCAGAGGCAGTGTTATTCTTCTAGGGTTTCTCCTTGCAGAAGTCCTTCGGGAAGACCACGAGAACCACATAACCCTGCAAAGAGAAAATAGGAAGCGTCCTAATTACCAACCACAAAAACCCTGCCGGTCAAAACATCCACCTGAGCAAGACTTTATGTGGCCAGTGTTGATTGGGAAAGCCATGGTATTTGCTTTCTAAAGAGAAGTATTTCTAAGTTGTATTTTAAAACTTATCCTCAATAAAAATGACTCTTTTCCCTCCCTGTTGGTATACAGTTCTAAGGATTTTGACACAGGTGTAGATTTGTGCAGTCGTCACCATCATCGGGACACAGGACAGTCCCGTCCCCCTAAATAACTCCTTCCTCCACCCCAGTCTCTGGCAGCCGTGCATCCGGTCTCTGTCCCTGTAGTTTTGTCCTTTCAAGAATGTCATGTAAAGGCCATTAGCATATCGGAATAGCAGGTAACCTTTGGAAACTAACTTTTTTCACTGAGTATAATGCCTTCGAGATTCATCCAACTTCTTCTAAGTGTCAATAGTTTGTCCCTTTTGATTGGTAAATAGTATTTTATTGTATGGATGGGCCACAGTTTATCCGTTTACTGGTAGAAGAACATTTGGGTTGCTTCCAATTTCTGGCAATTGTGAACGAGCTGTTATAAACATTTGTTTTTGTTTGAACATAATGTTCATTGCTCTAGGACAGATAGTCAGGGGTAAGAGGGCTGAGACATACAGTCAACATATGTTTAACTTCATAAGTAACTGTCAAACTTTTCCACAGGGTCCGTATCATTTTGCATTTGCCATCAGTAATGTATAAATATTACTTCCCGTCATTCTGCATACTCATCAGCACTTGGTATTGTCAGTATTTTTAATTTTAGCTCTTTTAGTGGATTTGTGGTTGTAGCTCATCATGGTTTTAATTTGCCTTTTCCTTATGACTAATGATGTTAAACATTTTTCCATACGATTATTTGACATCCTGTATCCTCTTTGAAGAAGCGTCTATTCTTACATTTTTCGTCCATGTTTTAATTGGTTCGGGTTTTTTCTTATTGTTGAGTTTTGAGAATTCTTTATTATGCATATAAGTCAGATATGGGATTTGCAAACATTTTCTTTCTGTTTGCTGCTTGTCTTTTTATTCTGTAAGTAGCGTCTTTTATAGAGCAAAAGTTTTTAATTTTGGTGAAGTTAAGTTTATAAGTCTTTTTTTTTTTTTAATGTGGTATGCTTTTTGTGCCATGTCTAAGAACTCATCATCCAACCCAAGGTCATGGGTTCGCTTCTAAAAGTTTTATAGTTTTACATTTTATAATTAGATGTATAATCCATTTTGAGTTGACTTTTGTAAAAGGTATAACATTTAGGTTAAAGTTTTCTTAATTGTTCCAACCCTCTACTGAAAAGACGAACCTTTCTCCACTGAATCGCTTTTGCACCTTTGTCAAAACTCAATTGGCTATATTTGTGTGGGTTTATTTCTAGATTCTCTGTTCTCTTCCATTGACCTATGTTTATCTCTTTGCTAATACTGTCCGTCTTGATTACTATAACCTTAGAGTGAGTTTTGAAATTGGGTAGTCTGAGTCCTCCAATCTTGTTCTTTCTTTCCAGAACGACTTTAGCTATTTTGGCTCCTTATAAATCCTCCATATAAATTTTAGAATCGGCTTGTCTGTATCTATAAGAAACCTTGATGAGGTTTTAGTTGGTATTGTGTGGAATCCGTAGATCAACTTGGAGAAAATTAACATTTTTGTTACGTTGAATTTTCCTACCCAAGAACATAATACGTCTCTCCAGTCATTTAGATCTCCAGTTTCTTTCCTCCGAGTTTTGTGGGTTTTACGTACTGATCCTGCACATGCTCAGTTAGACTTATACCTAAGCATTTTATATTTTGAAACTATTGCAAGTGTTACTAATATTTAACTTTCAGTTTTTAGTCGAACGTTGCTGGCCATGTTAGTTTCTGATGGCTGCTATGACAGATGACCACAAACGTGGTGGCTTAAAACAGTAGAAATTTATTCTCTCACAGTTCCGGAGGCCAAAAGTCATAATCAGTTGAGTCAAAATCAAGATGTGGCAGGGCTGTGTTTTCTCCAGAGGCTTGAGGGAACAGTCTCTTCTCTGCCTCTCAGCTTCTTGTGACTTCTAGCGTTCCTTGGCTTATAGCTACATCACTCCCGTCTCTACCTCCGTTGTCATATTTCTTATCCTCTGTGTCAAGTCTCCTCTGCCTCTCGTAAAGACACTTGTGATGGCATTCAAGGCCCATCTAACCCAGGACAATCTTCCCATTCCCAAATCCTGAACTTAATCACATCCGTGAAAACTTTACTATATAAGGGGACATTTTCAGGCTCCAGGAATTAGGACATTTCCAGCCTACTGCATTAGTGTTTAGAAATAAAGGTCGTGTGTGTGAGAGACAGAGAGAGAGAGAGAGATTTTGTGTTGATCTTGCATCTTGCAGCCTTAGTGATAACCTTATTAATTCTAGGAGTTTGGGGATAGATTATTTGAGGTTTTCTACACAGATAATCATGTCATCTGTAAATAGAGACACTTTCCAATTCGTATATCATGTCATCTGTAAATAGAGACACTTTCTCTCCAATTCGTACGACTTTTATTTCATTTCTCCTTATGACGTTGATTAAGACTTTCAGTACAATGTTGAACAGGAATGATGAAAGTCCTTGTCTCGTGTCTAACCTTAGAGGGGGAAGCATTCAGTCATTCGCTAGTAAGTATGATGTCAGCTTCTGTCCTTTACTGAGAAGATTTTTTTTTATCATGAATGAATGTCGAATTCTGTCATATGATATTTTGCATCAATTGATAAAATTATCTTTCCTTCTTTAGATTATTAATATCATATATTACATTCATTAGTTTCCAGATATTGAACCAGACTTGCATTACTGGGACAAATCCTACTTCATTATGGTGAATTATTATTTCTATATATTGCTGGTTTTGATATGGAATGTTTTGTTGTGGATTTTTATATTTATGTTTATTAGCGATATTTGTCTGTGGTTTTCTTGTACGGTCTTTGTCTGGTTTAGGTATCAGGGTAATTCTGGCCTCATTGAAAAAATTGGGAAGTTTTTTCTCTGTTTTCTGGAAGACACTGTGGAGTTTTGCTATTATTTTTTCTTTATTGTTTCATAGAACTTGCCAGTGAAATCATCTGGGCCTGATATTCTTTTTCAGAAATTTTTAAACTACAAATTTAATTTCTTTCATAGTCAGATCATTATTAGGGTTACCTGTGTTATTTTGGGTAAAATTTGGTAGTTTGTAGTTTTTGAAGAATTGGTCCATTTATCTAAGTTGTCAAATATATCCGTAGAGTTGTTTATAGTTTTCTGTTTCTATTTGTGTGATATCTGCAGTATCGATCATCAGTTTCCCTTTTTATTTTCAGGTAATTTGTGTCTTCTTTCTTTTTTTTTACCAACCTTTTTAGAGACTCATCAAGTTTATGGATCTTTTCAAAGAAGCAGATTTTGATTTTATTGCTTTCTCCATTTTTGTTCTGTTTCCACATTCATTGATTTCTCATCTTTATTATTTCCGTCTGTTTGCTTGCTTTGGACTTATTTTGCTCTTCTTTTTTTTAGTTTCTTAAGGTGAATGCTCCAATTATTTGACACTTTTCTTGTTTTCTAATATTAACATTTAATGCTATAAATTTCCTTATAATCACTGCTTTAGCCGCACCCAACAAATTTTGAAATGTTGTATTTTCCCATTACTTCAAAATATGTTCTATTATCTCTTGAGACTTCCTCTGTGATCCATCGGTTATCTGTGTGTTTAACTTCCAGATGTTTCAAGATTTCCCCATTACACTTTTGATATCGACTTCTAGTTTATTTCCACTGCGACCGGAAACGTACTTTGCATAATTTCGATTCTCTTAGTTTGTGAAGGTTTGTTTTGTGACTCACAATGGGTTCTGTCCCTGTGACTGTTTGGCTGTTTGGATACTGGGTTTTCTTCGAAAGGGACCCTGGCTCTAAACTGGGCCTGTTTGTTTATTCACCCAAGATTTGCTGGAAAGTTGTCACTCACGGCCTGCCTTTCTTTTGTCTAGAACATCCAGGATGTGAGGAGCGATGATGAGGATGAGGAGGAAGAGGAAGAGTCAGAGGACGAGGAGGAGGAGAAGGAGGAGGCCACCAAAGTCGAAGACAGAGACTGTTTGAAGAACGGCCTCGGGGCCGACAGGCACCTCATCCCCAACGGCCGTTAGCTTGACGCCCGCATAGCTCTGGGGGCACAGTGGCCGGTGTGGCTGCCGGAAGCCAGACGTCGCCATGGCCCTCGGGACTCACAGGGACCCCAGCTTCTGCTCTTCCTTTCTAACCACTGCCCTCCCCCTCCTCCTAAGATGTTTTTAAGGAAATTTTGTTGAATTGTGTTAAAACGTTAAGTGTGAGCGTTCCCACGGATTTTATGCAGTTAGGACTCAGACTGGTCAAAGATTTCAAAGATTTCTCCCAAGAACCGTTTCAGTTCTAATTGCGTTCATTCACTGGGGGCGTCTGGCTCTTCAGGAGCTCACCCCGTCGTGGGCCTTGTCGCTGTCCCCATGCCCGTCCTCAGGATGGCATGAGAACCACTAAGTTCGCCCATTTTTTTCCAAGCGTGTCTGGCCACAGAGAGCAGCTCGTTTCCCAAAAATGAATGAGAGGTGGCTCTGGAACAGGGTCAGAGGGACAGAACCAGGACACAAGGCTTCAGGGCTCATGGGCCACTTTCTGCCCCGGACAGTTTTTAAAGCTTCCAAACCCTGGCACTCGGTGTCTCCAACAGGAACCATAAGACCTGCCCGGCTGGCCCCCGGCATGGGGGTGAGGAGCAGTGAGATAGTTGGCATGAAAGCGAAAGTATCGTTGTCACCTGACCCTCTTTGCACTAGTTTGGGGGAGAGAAACCTGGATAAACTTGGCGCCGAATGGGCCCGAGTGACAGACACTATTTAAAAAAAAAAAAAAATTCCTTTTAAATACGTCTGGAGACGCCTGGGAATGCAGATCTCCAGAAGGCTGTCTCCATTTTATACAGTAATTACTCCTTCGTTAGCTCCCCGAGGGTGAGTTTTCCTCTCTCAGGCCCCAGGGTCGAGGGGAGGGAGTGGGGGCCCCATTCCTTCTTGATTTTTGCCGGTCTCTCATTTTTTTTTTTTCCTTGTCTAAGAGGGTAGTGTCTTTGCTGCTGTCCTGAAGTGTTCCCATCCTTCAGACCAGCGGAGCTACCAAGCAGGGCTGTAGGGTCCCCCTGGGGGCCTTTCTGGGGAGTCATGTTCTGAACCATTGTTCCGCAGGAGGCCTAAGCCCATGGGGCGTGACACGGTGCGAGCTCCTGACCCCAAGGAAATCTTGGAAGCAGATAGAGGATGCTACGCTATTTCATCTCTGCTCCCAACCCACTCAGAGTCATAATAGTGAAACAGAAGAAACCAAAGGCTGGAAAATACTCCTGAAACTGTCCAAGGACCGGTGCTAGAGTCAGTGACGGCTCCTAGGTCGCCTGCCTCTCTGGGAGGACGGCCAGGGGCTGGCGGGTCAGTGGCATCTCTCGACCCCCGCAGGGCACAGCTCCTGAGCCCAGCAGGCAGGGCGGGCCTTGGAGACTTCCCGGGCTGAGCGGAGCGCGTACCCTCCCTGCAGCCCCTCGCTTTCGTTGGTCACATCTTGCACCTTCATTCACCTTGTTTTGCTCAGGGCCCGGGTCATAAAGCCACACGAGATTTAGGACCACGGGAACCGGTAAAGCTAGGACTGTGGGAACCAGTACGGGCTCCGGTGACGCGGGCCAGTGCCATGGACCATGGTCCCTGGAGCAGGGTGGGCACTGTTCACAGGAAAGGTACCTGAATTTCTGGTTTTTACCAAAAAGACGTTTTTAAAACCAAAACCCAAACCAAAAACCCTTCAGAATCCTTTCCCCAACAAAATCTCCTTTCGAGGAATCGTTGGAACTACAGAAAAGCATGTCAAGTTTTCTCTATATAATAATATTTGTTTTTATGAGTATAATTCCATATGCATTCTATGTATGTTATATTATAAGCCTAAAATGCCTCCACTCTGGAGCATAGCTGTTGAATTATTAATATTATATTTTTTGGTGGAAGAATAGCACACTAAGATATCATTTGGTTTTTTTTTTTTATGTTTCCAGTTAGTAGACTTTTTTTTTTTTTTTATTCTAGTGTCGTCTCTGTACCAAATATTTTCTTGCTTAAGGTAAAAAAAAAAAAAAAAGTTTATTTGCTGCTCTATGCTCTAGTTTTTTTTTTTTTATTTGAATGTTGAAGATAAAATTGATATGCCAATTTCAACTCTCTCTGATACAGCTGAAAGCACCAGATGACCTCTTAATAGGTAGATATGCGTTTTCATAACGTCTCTTAGGACTTTTGGGGTGAATTTTAAAGGTAATGTCTCTTTCTACAGGCAAAAAAGGGCTCATGCTGTGGCAGACGACTTTATAAAAATGCAGTCCACCGGGCCACCGGTATTATTGTAATGCCGATGACACAGTAAAACAAAGACAGGATCGAGGATGCATGAGAGCGAACGGATTCAGCACACACGTTGCTTGGCTTCTTAGAGATCGTTACTGGTCTCTAGCAGAGGAAGCCAGCATCTCCTGGGGATCAGAGGGGACAGTGAGGAGGACAGAGCCAAGTTAGGACATCAGGGCTACTGGCCTCGGGGTATCAGACACCAGACGAGAGGTAGGGGGTTGGGCTTGACAGGGGTGAGCCTCTTGGCTATGCGCGGTGTAGACGGACAGAACTGTTGGGCTGGCACCTAACCCGGGTCACGGCATCTGGGCCAAGAAAGGGGACTCATCTGAAGGGCATTTTCCCAGCTGCCTTTTCCATACCTGCCTTCCAAGGATGAGGAGAAAATAGGGTTTAGATTGATGGTTCAACTGGCCGTCCATCAGCATTACCTATGGAGCCGAAAAACACACCTCGCCTGTTGCTTGCTCCACGTTTTGACTCAGTACTTCTTGGGGGAGAAACGGAAATCTGCATTTTAACCGAGTCAGGGTGCTTCTGACGAGCAGTCAGGATTCTGCGTGGAACACATAGTTTATCCCTACAAGCAGTTCCACGCGCTAGTAGATGGGAAAATGCTGTGATACTCAATATTTAATCCAAAACACATCTGTCACTATAGATAAAGCAGACACTGAACAGAAGAAAGAGAATATTATGAGTAACTTTATGTTAGTATATCTGAAGGTGTAAATAAAATGGATATGTTCCTGCAAAAATACAACTTGTCAAAACTGGCACAAGAAGAAGTAGATATCTAAACAGTTTTCCTAATGTAACAAAATTAAATCCGAAATTCTAAAATCTCCTGCTCCCCGCCCCCACAAATCTTTAGGCCCAGATGGCTTATCTAGTAAATTCTTCCAATAGTTAAGAAAGAATTAACACAAGTTATTATGCAAACTTTTCCAGAAACAAAAGAAACACTTCTATACTTGTCTTATGAGGCCAGCATTATCTAGATACTAAAATCTGACGAGAATATTAGAAGGAAAAAAACAACAACTAAAAGCCAAGGCACTCATGAGCATAGGTGCAAAATCTCTAAACAAAAACAAACCGAATTCAGCATGACAAACAAGTTGGGTTTATTTCAAGAACTTGTGGTTGATTTACTATTTGAAAATCAATGTTATTTGCCATTTTAAAAGAATAAAGAAAACCTCATCTTCAGAAGCCTTAGGTAAAATTCAACATCCATTTATCAAAAAAAAACAAAAACATAATCTCACAGAAAAGTAGGAAGGGACTTCCTTAATCTGATAAATACCATCTTCAAAAACCATAAAGGGAGCATTATAGAATGCTATAATGGTGAAATATATCGAAAGCTCTCCCCCCACCCAGGATTATCCCTGAGACAGGGGTGCCCATTATCTGCAAGGATGCCCATTATCCCAAATGTGGTCAATATTGCATTTTTCCAAATTAGCCAATGGAGGATTTCAAGAAGTAAAAATTACAAGGCTCAAAAGGAAGAAATGAAAACTTACTGTAAAAGCAAATGCAAAATAAAATGTGTGTGTGTGTGTGTGTGTGTGTGTGTGTGTGTGTGTGTGTGAACTTAGAAATGCCAAGAAGCAAGACAGCAAGACTGGATGAGACCACCTTATAAAGAACAAAATGGAAGAACCGGCTCTACAAATTACTAGGACTAATAATAAAGAGACGGCAAAGCAGCGTGACATTGGTATGAAGATAGAAATCGAACAATAAAATGGCATAAAGTCCAGGGACAAACCAATACATGTATGGACAATTTGATAGCTTTAAGGATAAAAATTGAACTTGACCCCTACTTAACACTATACGCGAAATAAATATACTATCTAAATGTGAAAGGTAAAATATAAAAAGTTTCCAGAGAGAAGGATAAGAAGATAGCTTCGTGACCCTAAGATAGGCAAAGAGTTCTCAAACAAAACAAAACTGAGTATGAAGCATAGAAGAAAATATTAATGAATCAGATTAAATGATAATAAAGAATTTCCGTTTCTCAACAGACACCGTGTAGAGTAAAAAGGCAAGCCGTAGAGTGGGAAAAATATGGACGACACTTATACCTGACAAAGGGCTCATATTCAGAAAATAGAAAGAAAAAAAATGCAACCCAAAGAAGAAAAAATGAGCCAGGCACTTAGACACTGTAGGAAACACCATGGATGTCTAGGTGTCCACTAACCATATGAAAAGGTGCTCGTCCTCATTAATCATTAGAAAGACTGTGAGCACCGAATGACTGTCCACGGGACACTGCTGGAGGGTGGCTATAGGCACTTGGCAAAACGATTTATCATCATTTCCTAAAATTAGCTAGAGGCACCTATTATAACTCCGTAGCCTGACTTCTGAGCACATATCCGAAAGACATGCATATGAATATTCATATCGGCAGTGTTCATAATAGCCCAAACGGGACACTTCCCAAATATCCATCAACAGTAGAATGGAAAAGTAAACCGTGGTACATTTAGACTTCGGGATACTACACAGCAACCCAGCTGAATCAACTGTGTCACCTCATCTTACAATCTTAATGTTTTGCAAAAGGATCTAATGGAAAATGACTACACACTTTAAGATTTTCAACACCGTGATGGGAACATTCCAGGTAGCGGTTACCTTAGGGGGGAAAGGTGGGACCGTGCCTGGTGAGGCCCAAGGGGACCTCAGGCCGT